TGGATGGCTGGCCCTGGCTGCCCAGCTCATTGTGGGGCCACTAGGTCAGGGGCAGGCACTGTGGCCAGAGTCTTCCCCTTTAAGGGCTCCAGGGCTGGGGGGAGGGAAAAGAGTTTTCCTGGTTCGGCCCAGAGTGGCTACCAGGGGAAACTGGGAAGGCTGGAGGCCAGCTAATTCGGACTAAGCAACTAGACAGTGCTTATTCTGAATTAGCTAATTCGAGTTTGGTGTTATTCCTTGTAGAATGAGGTTTATCAAACTCGAATTAAGCGCCCCACTATTTTGAATTTAATTTGAAATAGCGGTTTTCTTGTGTAGACGCTATGGAATTTAATTCGGAATAACGGCTGTTAACTTTGCAGTGTAGACATACACATACTCATGGGCTATGTCTACATTGGCACCCCTTTCTGGAAAAGGGATGCTAATAAGACACTTCGGAATTGCAAATGCCACGGGGGATTTAAATATCCCCTGCGGCATTTGCATGAACATGGCTGCCGCTTTTTTCCGGCTCGGGTTTTTGCCGGAAAAAAGTGCCAGTCTAGACAGGATCTTGCAGAAAATAAAGCCTTTTCTGGAAGTAGGAAAGTAGGAATAAGGGATCTTCCGGAAAAGGCTTTATTTACTCTAGACTGGCGCTTTTCTCCGGCAAAACCCCAAGCTGGAAAAAAGCGGAAAGGGGTGCCAATGTAGACACAGCCATACAGTGTGGTATTGCAAACTGTGCCTTTAAGGACTAAGCTTCTCAGATAAGGGTGTCTACTTGGGTGCTGTGAAGTTCCAGCTGTTATTATGTGCAGGCAGTTGGAACAGAGATAGAATAAGTAAGGTGTCTTGCAAGCACCTTAAGTACTGATCACTGAACTCCAGAGAAACAACCCTCCATTTAATCTAATCAAACTAGGGAGCTACTTCAACTTAATGGCAACTCTCCCTGGGCTGCCTTTGGAGAACTCCACAACCCAGAGCTGCCCACAGTATTTCAGAGTTCTGCACTATGGTCCCAGTTCTGCAGGGCCCCTCCTATGTTCTGCTCCAGCCTCAGCATGTCCCATATTCTGGTGTTTCCAAGTGCCCTGTCCCAGAGGGTATCTTGCAGCAATGCAGTGCCTGTCCTGATACATTTCTCTACCAGCCAGCCAAAGGGCACAGCAAATACACAAGATGCTTGTTTTGTTTGTTTGTTTGTTTGTTTTGCTAACATTGATCTTCCTTAGCATCTGCAGATACAGGTTTCCATTTCCCCTTCTCTGCACACAAATACTCTGTAAGGAAAGCTGACACCTCTGGAAAGAATGTAGTGACATTCTCAACTCATTACTTCAGCATGAAAAAACTTTAAAAAATAACAAATAGTCTTGCAGCATGTTAAAGACTAACGAAAAAAATGTAGCTGGTATCATGAACATTTGTGGGCACAACCCACTTCTTCAGATGAATGTAGTTTAAGAGGTCCAAGTTCCAAATAAATAGCAGAGAGAGGGGATGTGGAGGGAAAGGAGAGGAGAAAAAAATGGGAAAAGAATAGTCAATTAGAGTTTCCATGCTAAATGAAGCTGATAGAGAGGGTTCTAAGTGTTCTTAAGTACCTAGTGTTTGGCCTTTTATGTCATTAGGATGTGGAGTGTAGTGGGTAATCCAATTAAGGTCTTTGTTTAAAACTCTGTTGTAGGTATCAAACTTGTAAATTAAATAAAGCCCCGTAGCTTCCCTCTCAAGCTGGTTTTTGGAATTGGCTTGCAATAATACGGTGACTTTGAGATCTATTAATGAGTGCCCAGGCAAGTTAAAGTGTTCCCCAACAGGTTTCTGTGTAAACTTAAAAAACAATGAATAGTCTGGTAGCACTTGGCACAGCCCACTCCTTCAGGTGACAGGAGTATTAGATGTGTTACCTTTTGAAATATCTGATTTGTGTCCATTCATCCTTTCTCGCAGAGACTGCCCAGTTTGACCAATATACATGGCAGAGGGGCATAGCTGGCACAGATCACATTGGCGGATGTGCAGTTACATGAGCTTTTGATGTGGTGGTTTATGTGGTGTTTGTCTCTGTGGGATTGGAGCAAATCTGGTTGTATCTTAGGGCCTGGCTGTAAACAATTGATTGGGAAATATGTCTTGGATGGAAGCTAGAGGCTAAGTGTAATCGTCAGCAGGTTTCCAGTACAGGGAGGTGGAAATGTGTCCGTCCATCATGTAACTGTATTGTAGTGTCAAGAAAGTGGAGCTCTTGTGTGGACTGGCCCAGGCTAAGGTTGATGGTGGGATGGAAGTTGTTGAATTCCCTGTGGAACTCTTCACAGGTCCCCTTCCTATGGGTCCAGGCTGTTCAAATATGTCTGCAAGACTCCTCGGTCCCTCTTGTGGAGAGAGGCCTTGGAGGAAGCAGTACAGTCCAGGGCAGGGAGGGAGTGGGGTCCAAATCTATGCTCTGAAGCACAGTTGGGATGTTGCAGGGCAGCACAACCTATGGCTCAACTCAGTGCAGCAATAGCACTATAGCCACAGGAGAGCTAGGAACTGACTCAGTTTTAGCAAGCACATCTGAAAGCCCAGGCAGGGGCGGATATAGGACAGGGCGAGCGAGGCGGCCACCCCGGGCCCCGAGCTTCAAGAAGCCCCGTGCATGCGCCATGGCAAAGGGGGGCCCCGTGAAATTTGTGCTGCCCTGGGCCCCGCAAAATGGTCATCTGCACCTGAGCCCAGGACAGCCCCTGAAAACCAGAAGATCCCCAGAACACTTTCCACCCTATTAGTTGCCACCTCTTCCCCATACTGTGTAAGATTATAAAGTCTCTTTTTTCATTACCTCCTTCAGTTGATCAATTATCTTAGCTGGTATCTGCCTTTCAAACGAAGGCCTTATTTGTGAAGGACTGTGAGTTTTTCTCTGCTTTGTCTCCATACTCAGCCAAACAAGCAACCCACATCCTCAGC